TGGCAGTATTGAATAGTGTTGACATTTCATGTGATTGAAATAGTTTTCTACACTATCGCTTAATTCAGTGATAGCTTAAGTAAGTCATGTATCTAAAAGTTTTATCCACAAAAGATTTCAATTTTTTAGTTCTTATCTTAGGCTATAATAATGATGAAAATTTGCTTGATATATATATAGATCCTATTGATGGGAATCTGTGGAAGGTTCATGGTTCAGTTTTCATCGCGCTGTGATGATTGATATCACATGTATTGAGTCTTGTTGTATGTGGTGTGATGATTAGTACCACATGTATTGAGTTTTGTTGTATAACCTTTATGAGTCCTTTTGTATAAACTATGATGTATGACCTTCGAGGCCTATTGATGAATATGAAGGTTGAATATGATTATGATGCCATTTTTATGTTGGTTTTTATACATTGGTTATTATGAATTGTTTCTTACTCTGCCTGTTAGAATGTTACTTTCACGTGGGTAACGTGCAGATGACCGAGTTTAGCGTTGGACGCCGTTGAGAAGTTATTTTTGAAGTTTTGAGTTTTTAGACTTTTGGTTAGCTTAGAGGGTCTTACTCTGATAGATATAACATCGAGTTGGGTTCTTTTGAGTTAAACTATATACTGTTGAGTTATTTTGCTTATTTTTCCCGGATGAGGAAACCTTGATTTATGCCTTTGAGTTTTGCTGCTTTGTGCGAATGGATTATTTTGAGAAAATCCATGTACGCCCTTTTGATGATAATTATGAAATTTAATAATTTACTCTGATATCTGTGTTATTTTGCCATGCTAATTATGGGGTAGAAAGGGTGTTAGAGTGGTCGCCTAACCGCCCATGTGACGAGTTGGGGGCGACTTCATCCCCCGAGGAGGACCAGAGAGTGCACCTTGTGTCCTCGGCGCACACATCCACTTGTGTCCGGGGCATTCATCGCATTGTCCTCGGGGCATTCAATATTCTTTCAATCCTCACTGGGGCACTCATCACAAGAATCGGGGACGGTCATTTTCTGCCCTAATTTTGAAGTATCCTCCGGCGTATTCGCTGAAAAAACCCACGGTATTCCCAGTGCCCCCAGCGGAGCCGCCGGAAACACCGCCACAAACATAAAAAAACACCGAGAAGGATGCGGGAACTTACTTAGTATGGATGCAGAGAGACTGTCGCCGGGCAGAAAAATCCCAGATGTCAAACAGAATAATCGAAGATGTCAAGCAGAAAAACTTTGAATGTTGAGCAACTGCAAACAAGCGAATGAGCAAAAAGACGAGGCAGGTCAACACATATATACCCCTAACATGGGAAATGAAGCGTCGCTAGACACTCAAGTGCCTAGTCCATAACCGTCACAAGCAGACACGTGGCGACCCTCAGTCTCCACTGCGTCTCTTCAGGTTCTTCCATTGACCACGGGCACCTCCTCGATATAAGTTCACCTGGCCGACACAATCACAGCCTGCTCGACGGATACCTGCCCGACAGATCAACGCGCCCGACACCATTCTCTACTCAAGTGATAGCTCGCACGACCGTGAACAACGACTTGGGGGCTACTATTCTGGACTTGATCGACGCTTAGCTTACCCCCAAGCAAGTCCAAGCCCAATGAGGTTGGGCCCAAGAATATCTCGCTAACGGGCAGGATCCCCGTCGAGCACAACGTCCCCCCGTCGGGCATATGCCAACAGCTATCGGGCAGAACCCTTGCATCCGACCAGCCAACCTCTTTCTTCTCCATCGTCAGGCAGGACACTCGCATCCGACCGACCACTTTTGCCTGTCCGGGGAACTCCTCGACCCTTTTCCACGTTCTCCACGTGTCCCTCACGCAGGGACACGTCATAAAGTAACTACCCCACGTTCTGGAGATTCGGTCTTCCTCATTCTAGATAATGCGGAACAATTACCATAGGGCGAAGACCACATCCTGGTCTTCACGACGCCACGTCAGCCCTAGCAGTTACTAACATTGGGCCTGGCAGTCCAACCCAGTGCTAAGTACCCGTTGGCCCTGCGTTGGAGGCTCACTATAAATACCCTTTTCACTAGAGGGTCAGGTAACTTAACTTTCTTACTCTCTCTCTGTACTTGTTTCCATTCTATTCGTCACTTACTTTGGTATCAGAGTGTGTTTCAGGTACACCACCCTCCTCTTTCATACCTACGGTGAACAGCTAGCAAATCAACGACGCGTGACAGATCATTGACTCCCTTCTGGTCAGATACAAGTACAGAGATTCATATCAAAAATCTTTAAAATCTTTTAAGATTTAAATAACAATAACATATATATTGTACCATATACCAAACATTATTAGGAATACATTCTATATGTCAATATATTTATCATGAATATGAATGTAGTGCTTTGTTTCAAAATTATAACAGTTGCACATATTGATCTATCAAAATGACAGACACGTGATATATATCATTTTCCAAACAAACATTTACACACATGTACCCCTTTAAAACAAACATGTGATCAATATATAATCAAATTATTTATACTTCAATTTCAACTTTTACGCACTACTGGTACGAACCATTTATACACAATCATATAACTAACAGTAACATGAATGCTACCAATTTATTACAACATCAATATAAATCAAGTGTAAACCATCACCAAAACACCTTTTAAATGCATTGAACCGAAACACTCATATTAGACACCTTTTAAATGCATTGAACCGAAACACTCATATTAGAGTTTAATTCAAGTGAAATGCTAAAATGACACCAAAATGTTACACCACACTAGGGCTGGAAATGAGTCGAGTCGAGTCGAACTCACCTCAGCTCGGCTCGACTCGTTAAGAATTGTTCGAATTCGAGTTCGAGTTCGAGTTTGACACGAACTTTTTTTTAAGCTCAAACTCGACTCGTTATAAGTTCACGAACAGTTCGGTTCGACTCGTTAGGTTCATCTCATTAGGTTCAGCTCACATGATTCACGAACTTAAAAACTATTTTTTTAAATATATATATTTTTTAGTATATTTGACATTTTAAATATATATATATATATATATATATATATATATATATATATATATATATATATATATATATATATATATATATATATATATATATATATATATATATATATATATATTTTAAATAAAATATTAAAATAAAATAAAAGTTATCATATTGAAATTTAACTTTATCTTCGAAATCTACTAATTCAAAACCTACACAACTTTCAAGAGAAACATTTGAGAGTCTAATTCAAAAACTACTAAATTGAAGATTAAATTTGTCTAAGATTTGAAGTAAATATTTAAACCTAATCTTAAAGACAGTATAATTATTTTCATATGTAATCGAGTTGACTCATGAACCTAACGAGTCGAACTATGTATAGTTCAAGTTCAGCTCATTTAGTTAACGAACTTAATTTTTCGCTCATACTCAACTCATTTGGTTCATGAACCTAGTTCAACGATTTAATTGTCGAGTCGAATTCCGAACTATCTTCGAGTTGGTTTGGTTCATTGCCAGCCCTACACCACACCGTATCATTATACATTATACCATACATTCTGTTTTTTTTAATAGTTTTTTTTTATGCTTTGATTTTTGTGCCAATGCTCAAATGCCTTAAAAAAGCTACGGTGTACATACAAGTGTAAGAAATTGAGTGTAGACATAGCAATGCTCTTAATTCAATTTTTAAGACACCATACTTTAACACATATATAATACTCAGAAAATCACAATATCAGTAATCAGTACTTTAATGCCAACTGTTACAAAATTTTTATGTTTTTTATTTTAATATCATGATTTTTATGGTATTTTAATTTTTATGAAAACTGTAAAAAAAATACCGGAATCCATAATATCGATTTTTGTCTTATTTCACATTTTATTTCAAACAGTTTCACATTTTATTTGAAGAGACATGTCCCAACATTCACAAAGAGATATAGAATAGATTTAAATTTTGAATTTCAAATTCAAAATAAAAATCCCGTTAACTTAATTATTCATCAAACTAAACAATTATCATATTAAAATATCTTTTAGTTAAGTCAATATTTAATTTTACATGTTATTTAAGAGATTAATAAATTAATTTAACAACAAATACACATTTTTAGATTTAGGATAATTTTTGCCATCCTAAACAAACTTTCAAAATATTCAAGCATAGGGTATGAAAATTACACGTCTAGGGGTAAATTTAACCAAAGGCGTATTAGAAAAAATGGAGGTGCGGAAAAATTATTACAATCAGTTTAATTAAGGGCCAGTTTATTTTGAGTTTTCTTAAAAATAATTTTTATAGTGTAAAATATTTTAGTGTACAAATTTTTAAAAAAATTTGGTTTGAATAATTATTTTTAAAATATTATTTTATGTATTTCATCATTTTATTGAAAATTTTTTTGAATGTTAAAATTTTAAAAAGTCACTTAATTTTGAAGCTATTTCAAATAGCTTTTAATAAAAATCATTTTTGAGATATAACTTTTTAGAAAAATTGTGATTTAACTATATTTTGATTTTCAATAATGTATGTTTATGTTATAGTATGTAAATTTTACATTTTAATTTATAAAAAAAATATTAAAAAAACGTTTTTATCAAATCTATTTTAAAAAATAGAAAGAAAAAAGCTATGTTTTTAAAGTTAAAACAAACTGCCCTAAATCTATAAAATGAAAGAGTATAGCAGTTCAAATAAACCTAATCACAAAACTCAAAAAAATCTAATCACAAACCAGACTCGAATTAATTGGCCTAATTTTCTTATGAAGTCATCTTACACCACAATCGCGCCATCTTACACAAGTCCACAAAAAGTTATTTCAAAAACGGATACTCTTATTTGTACAATATAATGTCCCAAGTTAAATAAAACAGAGGAGCTTTAAGCAAGAACATAAAGCTGATGCGCTTTGATCAAGTGTGATTTGATATCTAAAAATGATCATAAATAAATACACACAAGATTTTAACATGGAAAGAAACCATGGATCAAGAATCTTTCAATTTTGCAGGTTCGACAAAAATTAGCCTTCCATCAACTATCTGCACCATGTAGGTAACATTACTCCATTGAATGTATCTATAAATCAATTCCAAAGAACAACAACATATGGAAGGTGTAAAATATATTTGTCAGAATCTCAACTAAGTCTAAGAAAAATGGATTTGATGCAACCATCACTGCAATTAATGATCTTGGCCGTTGACGAAGATCAATTGAGACTATAAGTTAATTAAACAACTTATAAGTGTTTATATATAAACCCTTTCTATAACAAAATTATAAACCATTTCTATAGATAAACAACCTAAAGTTTTAAGTCTCTAATTCAATAAACAACTTAATTAAACACTAATAGCAAACGTGTTTTCATATAAGTGTTTATATATAAACCATTTCTATAACAAAATTATAAGAAAAACTGTTTTCCTTAAGATATAAGCTATTTTCATAAACTATTAATGATAGTTTAAAATAACTTATGAACAAATCATAAACTGTTTTCATAAGCTCTTGTAAAGAATCTCACAAATACTTATGCCCAATAAAAAACAAGCCAATCCAAACAGTTTCTAAAGTTTTAATCTATCAGGCATTTTAACAAACACATTAACTGCATAATATTCCTATTCTGAAAAGCATCACAAACCAATATATAGATATAGGAAAGAGACAATTACCCTTCCATTCAACGCTTTCACAGCCTTTTCTGCTTCAATTTCCGACTCATACGAGACAAAACCAAAACCTTTAGGTCTTTTGGTTTTTTGGTCTATCACAAGTGAAGCTGCAAAAGCATAATATCATGATTCAGAACCTAACATAGCAATGGAATTAGGGGGATGAGAAGAGAAAGAAGAGAGTACAAACTACACACACCTTCTTTAAGTGCTCCGAATGGTGAGAACAATTTCACGAACTGATCGTTTGTAATGTAAAATGATAGTCCTGGAAAATGAAACGAAGCAATGATGAAAAGGTTGAGAGATTAATGCATTGAACACAAATGAATGAGTGAAATGGAGAAAATCTAACTGCTGACAAATAGTCTATTGCCGATTCGTTGAGACATGTTTGTTTGATTCCAGATTCTGCTGGAGATTGATCGTTTGCAACGAAGACAAGTATTAGGCTTAGCCGTTGGGAGTTAGAATGAGAAGTTGTAATTAGTTAAATTTTATTCTTATGAATGTTGAATTCTCATAATTGTAAATGAGAATATTTATGATAAAAATGATGTGTAAATATATTTTTTGAAATAAAAAATATTCGAAACCATTTTTAAAAACTTGAAACTTGAATATCTAATGTCAGATTGCTAAAAATACAATTTCATCCCTTAAAGCAAACACACCCTTAAAAGAAATTAGTTGAATGAATCATAATATTTGTGTTTTTTATTGGTCCACCATATACAACTATTGTTCAAGATTAGTGCATGTTTGTTAAAATCTTAAATATTTGTGTTAATTTGATTTATTATCAAAAATACTATTTTTTTAAATGAATAATTATGTATATCTTTTATAAACAATAAAATATTAAAAAATTGTATTAATTGCTTTAAAATATAATCTTTGGTTAATTTTCATCTTATCTCTATTACAATTGTTCGTTTTAATTTGCATTCGTAGTGTTATATTATAGAGTCTTAGACAAGGGAAACTTTAAGATCCCTTCCTAGAGTGATGTCGCGCATGCGACGTTAACATAGCATGTGGAGACTTGTCTTTGGAACAAATGGCGTATATAATATTGTTATCTCTTGTTAGTTATCTGAGAAAGAGTCATACCACGACTATCTAAAAAATAGGTAGTTAAGAGTCTCCCTTAATCCTGGAGGAGCGATTGTTACCTCTAAGGGTTTCCTAAGCCCATGACCCAAAAGGCCTATATAAACACTTATCCTTCAACAAGAGGAAAGGGATATCCTAACTCATATGCTTATACCTAAACACCAACATGAGATACAAAGCCTCTCACCTCACATGAGCAGGTTCTTTAAAACCATCGTACATGGTTTCTCGCCATTGTGGACAAATCATAATCACCACAAACTATTATAAACCTACTAAGTTCTCTGAGTACCCCTGTCCTTACAGGGGTAACATGCACACCTATAATTTTTTACCAGTACAATGTCACCCAACGTGGAGCTTTGGTAAAACTAACTTGGATCACACCTCCTTCATCATAATCACCATACTCATTATCACCCCTGCTCTTATTCACAACCTCTTTTAACCATGGTTAATAAGAGGGCTTTATCCCTACGCTGGAGGATACTGGTGGTAGCAGTGATCCCAACGCCTTGGTGGGGATGTGTGCTGCCATGGAAGAACTACACCATCAAAATAAAATAATGTAGTAAATTATCCATAATATAAGACAACGCCAACAAGAGTCCAATCCTCTAGAGGAAATGGAAGCTCTGACCCCCCAACCACTCTCTGATGAGGTATTGGACACACTTGTCCTAAGGGATTTAAATCCCATATATGACCAAGCTTGATAGGCACAACAATCCCTATGAGCACATTGCCTCCATCAACACGCAAATGACCATCATTGGGGCACTTGGCTCCCTGAAATGCAAACTACTATGTGACACCTTCAGGGACGTCACCCTTCGATGGTATATGAGTATGCCTCGTGCGTCCAGTGGCAGCTATCAAGAATTGGTAAAGAAACTTGTACACCAGTTCTTCGTCTGCCGTTACAAGAAGATGTCGACGACCATCCTGTTCAGTATACGACAGGGCTCATTAGAGTCATTAAGGGACTATCTTTCCCGGTTCAATGAAGCCACATCGTTCCCTCAAACCAATAAGTGTTTATGGGGGAGTTCCAAAATAGATTCAGGGCTGGACACTTTAGTGAATCTCTCTCCTAGAAGCCAACAATTTCATTAGCAGAGGTGATTACCATGACATAGTGTTATATAAAGGGCGAGGAGAGCAACATCGAAAAGAAGGTGTGAGATGTCAAGGAACGTGTCACCAACGGAAAAGATTTACACCACCAGAGGAAAATTAATTACACCTCTCTCATCAAAGACAATACTGTATTCAAGAGAATAGACAAGACGACGTAGAGTTTCACGCCTCTGAACATTCTCCGTGTATAGATTTGGCACGAGGTTCTTCACATGCACAACATTTCCATGCCTCCAACTCCGAAGGCGGATGTGATTAGTCTAAAATTAATTAAATTATACAAGTTCCACATAGTCAAGAGACACCACACTAAGGATTTTTTCCAACTCAAGAAAGAAATTGAGAAGCTGATCTACAAGAGACATCTTAATAAATATGTGAAGGGTGACTCTCTCACAGATCAGACAGATCTAGCTCTCACGGGTAAGACGGTGCACAAAGCCTTAGGCCTAGTAAGGAAAATGAGGCATCCCAAGGAAAGGGAAGTATAGTTGAGCGCCACATGCTCAACACCATAGCAAGAGGATTTGTCGGGGTGGGGAGACTAGCCCGTTCATAGTAGGTATGCTCGCGAACTTCTAAACATAAAATATCTCCTCAATATCGAAGGTGAATGCGATTCAAAGGCTCCATAAGCCGCAATCGCTTACTTTGAGAAAGATACAGATGGAATCCACCCTCACAATGATGATTCCATGGTCATTACCATCACAAGCGATGAATGGAAAATCAAAAGAGTTCTTGTAGACCAAGGAACTTTTGCAAATATTATGTATTAGGAGGCATTTGAAATACACCTTCTCGACCATGAGGACTTAAATCCATTTAAAGGTTTTCAGGTTCGATTCTATGGGGAGCAGGTGCAAGTAAAAGGATACATCACTCTAAAGACCACTTTTGAAGAGTAGGACCAAGCCAAAGAAATAAAGGTCAGATACTTAGTTATTGATACCCCTTCTTCCTATAATATGATTATAGGGTGGCCAATTTTTAACCAGCTGGGAACCGCCTTGTCCATTCTATATTTATGCATAAAGTACATGCTCTCTAACGGACGAGTGAGAGTTATCTAAGGAGATCAGGATCACCACAAAATGTTACTAGAGAGCCTTAAGTTAAAAAGGGTTTGCACTATAGGCATGAAATCCAAAAAAATGGGTTCAGGAATAAAGCTGGCAGAAGAAACCTGCAAGGGCCAGGATGTACTCCGTCCGCCTTGTCCATTCTTTATTATTGTTTAGTTGTTTTGTTGTTGATTTTTATAGGTGAATATTACACCTCTGTCGATTGTAAGAACAAGTTATTTCGAGGGGTGCACTCTTTTCCCTCTTCATTTTACATAGGGCAGGGTTTTTTAATGAGGCCTATCATTTTATTATTTTAGAGAATCAGTGTTTTCTAGCTACTCCCTTTTTTGTATGAGACCTAAAGCTTAAGAGAAGATCGTCCTATGAGGCGATGAAAATGAAGGATCCCTAAGTGGGATCCTTGCCACCTATTGTGGCGATCAAAATGCTGGGTCCTTAGGTGGGATCCTTGTCACCCTATGAGGCAATCAAAATTGTGGATATATAGGTAGGATCTTTACCGACTAAAGAGGCGTTCAAAATGATAGACCTTTAAGTGGGATCCTTGTAACACCCCATTTTTGTTAGGTAATTTATTTAGTTCAATTATGCCTTTTGGGTGATTTAATATTTTTTGTATGGTTGTGGGGCTAAGTGTCCTCGAGGTAGAGGTATAGAGAGAGTAAGAGTTTGGTATAGTTGTTTATATTTAACTAGAATTTTAATTATTTATTAAAACAACTAGAATTTTATTTGAATTAATGAATTAAAATAGTAAAATGATATAATTGAGTCAATATGGAGAACTTGAAGAAATAAAAGGGAGCAAGGAGTTAGGAAGTTAAGGCTATAGGGTGAATTAAGAAAATTGAGGGTTAATGAGCTAATTAGAAAGAAGTGTGTAGAAAACCTTAAGTTATATTTCAAGTAAGAGAGTTTGGAGATTTTTACGTAAAATAATTTTTTTTGGTAAGAAGAGACAAAGGCTAGAGCTAAAGGAAGACTCCATTGTTAGAGCTTGAAGTTGTATCTTGCTGCAAAATTCAAGGTAAGGAGCGAGAAAGGGCTACCAATTAGGTTTATTGCATGATAGAGTAGAGATAAGAAGTTCTTAATCTCATTAAGGTTATAAGTTTTCTTTTGATGAATTGTTATATGATGAAATTATGGAAATTATTGGTTGATCTTTTGTGTATATATGTTGCTATAACTGAAACTATGTTTGAAATATCATGAACATGCATGTATAAAATTCTACCATTGATGAATGTTTGAATGTTTGAGTTGTGTTCATGATTGATGATTAAATTGTTGTTGAAATTGTTGATGGATTACCATGAATCATGATGAAAATAAGTGTTGTAACATGCGAAGGTTGTGATAACATGATTTCAATGTTTAATTCGTGTTGGAGTTGATTAATATTTGGGAAACATTGGTTGGGTTCATGTATGGTGATTTAGGGAGGAAGAATGAGATGAATGTGTGTAAAAACTGAATTTTTTAGAAAATAACACAGTGACAATCGATTGTCACAACATTACAATCAATTTCCTATCCTAGAAAAGTGTTTTTTTGTGAAGTGAGTAGTAAAATGTGTTGCTGACAATCGATTGTCACCCAATGAAAATCTACTGTCATAGGCCAAATGGTGAAAAAATTTGGTTTTGTCTTTGTTGCATTATCCAACGATTTTGGTTGTAACATTCATTTTGTAAGTCCAAATGAGACGTCGTTCGAAGCATTAAAAAGCTAACGCACAGAAACACGTCATGATGGTGCTTGGTGAAATGTTTGAGTTGTGGTTATTTACCTATTATGGAAATATTTGTGCTGACTTGTATGATCAGTTAGGGAATCGTTATGTTTATACGATGATGTGTTGTTGTTTTAGTGAAGTAACATGAACGAATGCTTATGAAGTTACATTTGTTGAGTTGCTACTATTGTTTATTGATGTCCTAACATTGACTAACTATTGCGTGTGATAAATGATGTTGTGCATAAATGGTGAGATGTGCAAAATTATTCTTTCGGTGAACCTTTTGGTGATAATTCATTTTGTTAAG